AGTATGGATTTTGATATGACTCATGGACATATCAAAGGTCATTCCATGAAGATGGGGAAGCCCCAATGTCAACACTGGCCAACTCTGCTTCTATTATGACTTTGCTTTTCCCTTTTGGCAATCTGAGACTTACACATGAATACACACACACACACACACATATAAAAGGTAAAGGTAGTCCCCTGACATTAAGTCCAGTCATGTCTGACTCTGGGGTGTGGTGCTCATCTCCATTTCTAAGCCGAAGAGCCGGCATTGTCTGTAGACACCTCCAAGGTCATGTGGCCGGCATGACTGCATGGAGAGGTGTTACCTTCCGGTACCTATTGATCTACTCACATTTGCATGTTTTCGAACTGCTAGGTTGGCAGAAGCTAGGGCTGACAGCGGAAGCTCACACCGCTCCCCGGAATCGAACCTGCGACCTTTCGATCAACAAGCTCAGCAGCTCAGTGCTTTAACCCACTGAGCCACCGGGGGCCCCCACACACATATATACACACACATATATATAACTTATTTCTACAGGAGCCCCAGTGGCGCAGTGGGTTAAAGTGCTGAGCTGCTGAGCTTGTTGACCAAAAGGTCGCAGGTTTGATTCCGGGAAGCGGCATGAGCTTCCGTTGTCAGCCCCAGCTTCTGTCAACCTAGCAGTTCGAAAACATGCAAATGTGAGTAGATCAATAGGTACCGCTCCAGCAGGAACGTAACGGCACTCCATGCAGTCATGCCAGCCACATAACCTTGGAGGTGTCTATTGGACAACGCCGGCTCTTCGGCTTAGAAATGGAGATGAGCACCACACCCCAGAATCAGACATGACTGGACTTAATGTCAGGGGACAACCTTTAACATTTACATCTTTCTAATCCAGTGTTTCTCAACCTTCCTAATGCTGCGACCCCTTGATACAGTTCCGCATGTTGTGGTGACACTCAACCATAACATTATTTTTGTTGCTACTTCATAACTGTATTTTTTCTACTGTTATGAATTGTTGTGTAAACATCTGATATACGGGATGTATTTTCATTCAATTAACAAATTTGGCACAAATACCTGATGCACCCAAATTTGAATACTGGTGAGGTTTGGGGAAGTTGATTTTGCCATTTGGAAGTTGCTGGGATTTATAGTTCACCTACAATCAAATAGCATTCTGAACTCCACCAACGATGGAATTGAATCACACTCTGCATACAGAACTTCCAAGACCAACAGAAAATACTGGAAGGGTTTGGTGGGTGTTGACCTTGAGTTTTGGAGTTGTATTTCGTAGTTCACCTACATCCAGAGAGCACTGTGGACTCAAACAATGATAGATCATAACCAAACTTGCCACAACTACTCAATATGCCCAAATGTGAACACTGGTGAAGTTCAGGGTTTTGGTGTTTTGTTTTTGTTTGTTTTTTTATCGTGTCAGGAGTGACTCCTGGTGTGAGAGAATTGGCCATCTGCAAGGACGTTGCCCAGGGGACGCCCGGATGATTTGATGTTTTTATCATCCTTGTGGGGGGCTTCTCTCATGTCCCCGCATGAGAAGCTGGAGCTGATAGAGGGAGCTCATCCGCCTCTCCCTGGATTCGAACCTGCGACCTGTCGGTCTTCAGTCCTGCCAGCACAGGGGTTTAACCCACTGCGCCACCGGGATAAACAGACCTTAACATTTGGGAGTTGTAGTTACTGGGATTTATAGTTCACCTGCAATCATAGAGCATTCAGAACCCCACCAACAATAGAAGTGGGTCAAACTTCCCACACAGAGCCATCGTGCCTTGAAGGGACTTGCTGGCCTGAGCCTCCCTCCAGCCTCGTGCACTCTCCCTCGGCCGCACATGCACACCACGTTGCCATGTGCCAAGCACACTTGCTCTCCCTTCCCCGCTTGGCTGAGAGGCCAATTGAGAGGCCAGCCAATCAAAGCACAGGAGGGCTTTTGGTGGGAGGATTTGCTGTTTGTTTCCAAAACAGAAGAGAAGGACAGGCGGGGAGATCTTCAGCCTTCTCTGCCAAAGGGGTTCCTAAGACTATCAGAAATATATGTATCTGATGGCCTTTGGCAACTCCTCTAAAACCCTTATGTGACCCCCCCCCCAGCGTTCCTGACCCCCAGGTTGAGAAACGCTGTCCTAATATTTTGACCCCTTCCTAGCAAAAGTGGCACAACATTCAGAAGACGTCATTAAGTTTTAGGGCAAGGAAGGTCGGGATAAATCCTTGGAGCCACAAATAGGCCCAAAGCTGTTTTTCTGGACATCAATTGTATCCTACAATTGTTGCAAATTGTTGTGGATAATCCTGATTAAATCCTCTGCCATCCCATTTTTTCAGCTGTATCAAAAATGTCCCGGTTTCTCTCTCATTTCTCCCCTTGGTAGCCAGCTCATTTCCAACTCATCCATTTTGCCCGATTTTTAAGTTTGTCGCCTATAAATACAAAAGCATCAAATAATTGCTGCCTGTTCAAATACAGTAAAAATGACAGAGTTCAAGACAAGGAGGGGAAAAAAGAGCCCAAAATCTGGGCTATAATAAAATAACAATTAAAAGTGCAGAACAAAGAAGAGAAAAAAGGGACTTTTGATCTCCCTTTCAGCATCTACATCTGCATATAACTATGCATATCTCTTTCTCCACAATTTCAACAAATCCCTTTCTTTCAACGTCCTGTTCTTTCTAATCATCAAAAAGTTATCAAGTCATTTTCTTGCAACAAAAAAGTCTATAAGGGTTTTCCAAGTCTCTGAGAAATGACCTTTTGCTAATGACTTTTCTCACTAATGACCTTTCTCTAATCAAACCAGGCAATTTGTCCATTTCTGCTTCAATCTGTCAGCTGGAGGAACCATTCCTCCACAGTGCTGAAGTCTTCCAAATAATTGCTGTACATGTATAAAGTGATCCCTTAGGCATGTCTACCCAGAAAAAAAGCCACACTGAAAGTCAGTGCATCTTTGCGTAAAACTACAACCGCCAGTCAAGAAGCTGAACCAAGTAGAAATGTCACCAAAGCTGTTTATAAAAGATCTGTCCAAGGTTCTGAAAATCAGACCCAAATGTGTTATGTGCCTTCTAGATTCCTGTCAACTGCATTTCAGAGAGTTTTCTTAGACAAGGAAACATTACAGTTGGTTTTGTTAGTCACTTCCTCTGAAATAGTGGCTGCAGAATTTGAGATTCACTGGTGGCCTCCCATTCAAGTACTAAGCAGAGTTGGTCCTGCTTAGCTTCCAAGACCAGGTGGAATCCTGTGTTTTCAGGGCATTTCGGCTGGAGTAACCCCTCCATCAGATTGGAAACCATCAATTGATTAGGGCATCAATCCAAAACAAAGGATCACCACTTTCCCAAAACAGAGCACCAAGAACAATCAGCCTCAACCTGACTACAATTCCTTTCTTGACCATATCTATTGATTACAATTATTTTCTTGAGCATCTCCATTGACTACAATTCCTTCCTTGAGCATCTCCATTGACTACAATTCCTTCCTTGAGCATCTCCATTGAGTACAATTCCTTCCTTGAGCATCTCCATTGAGTACAATTCCTTCCTTGCACATCTCTAATGACTATGATTCCTTCCTTGAACATCTCCATTGACTACAATTACTTTCTTGCACATTTCTATTGACTACAGTTCCTTCCTTGAGCATCTCTATTGACTACCATTCCTTCCTTGAGCATCTCCATTGACTACAATTCCTTTCTAGAGCATCTCTATTGACTACAATTCCTTCCTTGCACATCTCTAATGACTATCATTCCTTCCTTGAGCATCTCCATTGACTACAATTACTTTCTTGCACATCTCTATTGACTACCATTCCTTCCTTGAGCATCTCCATTGACTACCATTCCTTCCTTGAGCATCTCCATTGACTACCATTCCTTTCTTGAGCATCTCCATTGACTACCATTCCTTTCTTGAGCATCTCCACTGACTACAATTCCTTCCTTGAACATCTCTATTGACTATAACTCCTTCCTTGCATATCTCTATTGACTACCATTCCTTCCTTGAGCATCTCTATTGAGTACAATTCCTTCCTTGAGCATCTCCATTGACTACAATTCCTTTCTTGAGCATCTCCACTGACTACAATTCCTTCCTTGAACATCTCTATTGACTATAACTTCTTCCTTGCACATCTCTATTGCTACCATTCCTTCCTTGATCATCTCCATTGACTTTGATTTCTTCCTTGAGCATCTCTATTGACTACAATTCCTTGCACATCTCTATTGACTACCATTCCTACCTTGAGCATCTCTATTGACTACCATTCCTTCCTTGAGCATCTCTATTGACTACAATTTCTTCCTTGAGCAACTCTGTTGATTACCATTCCTTTTTTGAGCATCTCCATTGATTACAATTCCTTTCTTGACCATCTCTGTTCACTACAAGTCCCTTCTTCACCATTTCTACAAATAATGCTCTTTGTTATCATGTTACATCCAGATTCACTTCTGTGATGCTTTGGAACTAAAGTCCACTCTGTCCCAGCAACATAGATACAATGAAGACACAAGTCAAAACATCCCTTCAAAGTGTCAATGGAAATTCCAAGTACATGGAGGACACCTGTCCATTGAATGTATTTCACTTCCAAATGGGTTCATGCAGAGGGTCTCTGAACCTGTTACAAACATAGCAAGGATTTTAAAGGTGGGGGACTGACAACGTTTGCTGATAGTATGCCATATTTGTGTCCATTGACTACAATTATTTGTCTTCCAAAACTCCTCAGTAACCAACAATTAATGGCTCAAGGTTTGCTGTCATTCCAAAGACAATTATTTTGAGAAGCAACAAACTATGGAAGAGTTATGTTTTGGGTTACAACTTCCAACCAACATGTTGGCTAGAAGAGTATGGGATTTATAGTCCAAATTCTGTCCTCCTACTGAAACATCTGACCACTAATAATGGATGCAGCATGGGAAGAGAGACCCAAATTCCTTATGTCTGAAGGCATTTAAGGGCATGTTTACCTGGTGCTCCATCCTTCTCCGTGTGTCAAAGAATGTCATGGAACCTGTTGAAGACTCACAATAATGTTTGGACATCCTGCGGTCAAAAATGCATTTCAGGAACCGGTCAAAGATGGAGCCCCTGAGACAAACAAGAAAAAGAAACAGGCCTAGAATTAGAGACTCAGTGAAACAACCTCCAAAATTCCACAAACTTTCATCAATGAAAACAAATTCATAAATGAAAACCAGAAAGCAATGGGAAAATAAATGACTTCAGTAAAGTACAAGATAATCGAAACACCTTAGATATGAACAATATTATAATTAGATTAGATGGAAACTGGATTAGATAAAAGCATCCCCAGTAATAAATCCTCCTTGCATTTCCATTGCTTTCAGGGCAAAAAGTGGTCACCGAGTCAGCATCACACAGAATCAAAATTGAAATTGAAATATGTCAATGTATGGTGATCCAATGAATGTTCTTGGCTTGGGAATCATCAGGCCAGTTCCGTTGTCTGAAACAGGGCCTACTTGGTATTTGATGGTGGTCTCCCATCCAAGTAGTAGCCAAAGCTGATCCTGCTTAGGTTCCAAAATTGCACAAGATTGGAAAGCCTTGAGGTTATTTAGGCCTTACTATAACTAATTGTTTCCTTTTTCACTGTCCAGAAATCATCAACTATGTTTTCCTCCCTTTCAGGGAACTTTTCCATGTCTTTCCTATCCTTTGGAACAGTTGCCTGCCGGGGTCATCTCTTCCTCCTTGGATTTTCCAAGGGATGATCCTTCCTCCTCCCCTTGGGTTCCCATTTCGAATTCTGCTCCTCTCCTCCGCCGGCAAGGCATTTGTTACACTGAATGGCCTTTTGACGACTTGGTATCTCATGTCTACAATGAGAAACGGAGGAGCCAAATAGGCCGTAATTTTCCCGTGTTTAGGCCTTTATTGCAGCGGCTGCCTCTGCTGATTAGTTCGTATTTTCCCCCCTTGCTCGGTCTTCCTGAGCAGCCCTTCCAGCTTGGATTCTTTATCTTCATCTCCTGCCACCAATTCATTCTGGCTGGATCCTATCAGCTGATGCAGCAAAAGCTGCAAAGCTTTCAAAGCTCCTGCATGAATTGGACAGTCCCCTGTTCACATCTAGACAAAGAAGGGAGGATGCTACTAGAAATAGAAGGGCACTTCCAGCTCAGGAGGGCACTCAATCTGCTTTGGAATTTAGTGCAAACTTTAAAGGAAAGAGTCATCGAACCTTAGAATCTGAAAGGAATCTCAAGAGATGTACATTAGGAAAAATGTCTTTGATGCAAGAGCTGTTCAACAATAGTACTTTCCTTCATTGAAAGGCTTTCAGCAGAGGTTGGGTGGTCATTTTTCAGGAGGGCTTTAATGGTGTCTTCCTACATAACAGAATGGGGTTAGGGTCTCTTCCAGCTGTATGATTCTATGATAACAGTCATATTACCTTTAATTAACCAGTCCTCAGTAGCATAGATCCATTGGATCACAGCACTGAGATGGACCATATGGTCCCCCTCTGCTGGCTGGGACTAAAGAATTAAGGCTACTATCTCTTCATGGCTCACTGCTATCACAGAATTAGAGAGTTGGAAGAAACCACAAGTATCATCAAGTCAATCTCTTTTCTGTCATGCAGGAAGACACAATCAAAGCCCCCCAGATAGATGGTCATACTGCCTCTGTTAAGAACTTCCAGAGAAGGAGACTCCCACCTGATTCCCAGGCAGCAACACTCTATAGTTGAACAGCTATTCTCATAATGAAGTTCTTCCTAATGTTCAAGTGGAATCCCTTCTCCTGCAATTTGAATCCATTGCTCCATTGTATCTTAATCTCCAGAGCCTTGCCTCCTCCTCAAATATTTAAACATAGTTATCCTGTCCAATCTCAGTTTTGTCTTCACTGAGCTAAACATCCCCTGCTCCTCAGAGAACTTCACAGGTTCCAGACCTTTGACCATTTCACTCACCCTCCTCTGGAGATGTAGAACTTTTTCAAGATCCTTCTTGAATTGTTTTGCCCAGAACTGGACACAGAATCATTCCAGGTCATGACTTGTTGCCATTAAGTTGGCTTTGATTTATGGTGACCCAGGAATGAGAGAACTCCAAGCCTCTTTTATCCTCAACATCTATTGTATGTCAATCTGTTCATCCTGTGATTATGTCTGATGTTCATGTTGATGTTAATTGTGGGAATGGGAATGGTGTTCCTGAAGATAGACCTGGGGATGACGGTTTGCTTGGGCCTGAATTAAGTCCAGAAGAGACGTCTGAGCTGTTTCAGGAAGATTCCCAAGGCCACAGCCCTGGGAGAGACCTTTCACCGCTTTTCTCAGAACAATTGTCTGAAAGTGATGTTGAGATTGATTTGCCAGGTGTAGGGATTAATGAGGGAAAAGATAGTGAAATCTTGGACAGAAAGCGAAGTTTGAATGAACAGAGGAATAGCTTTCAGAGACTGAGGCAATGCCTTTGTCTACAGCAAATGAAAAATAACAAACCATTATCTAGTGGGAAAGTAATGAAGAATGCTTTCTTGTCAATTTTGGGTTCTGGAAAAATGTTAGGATGATTCATGGGACTGAATTGTCTCAGTCGAGGCAACATCGTTATTTGATCATGGCCTTGGTTTCAAGTGCTCTGAGTTTCATGAACCAAGTTTTGCCAAGCTAAGTTTCGCTTATGGGATTTTCCTGGTGTTCATAGTTTCAAGTGCCTTGCTTCATGGACTCATGGATCTTGTTTCCCTCTAAAGCAGGGATGAGAGATAGGGCCTTCTCGGTGGTGGCCCCATGGCTGTGGAACGCCCTTCCCACGGACATTAGACTAGCTCCATCATTAATGGTATTCCGCAAAAAAGTGAAAACCTGGTTGTTTGAGCAGGTGTTCGAATAGTCAGTGCAATGAATGTAATGAACATAGGAATGGATCAATGGATGACGGATCTGGATCATGTTTTTAGTGATGAGATGCTAGCGAATGGCTATTGGTGTTAATTGTATATTGTTAATTGTATACTTTTCTATAATATGTTATGATGTTAACTGTTTTTTATACCGTGTTATGGTAACATTGAATTTTTGCTGTTCTTGTTGTTAACCGCTGTGAGTCGCCTAAGGGCTGAGAACAGCGGTATACAAATAAAGTAAATAAATAAATAAAGCTATTAACTATTTTGGATTTTGGGTTTTTACTGTTTTGCTATTTTTATTGCTTTGCCTACATATAATATAAAATAAACTGCTTGCTGATTTTACCAAGCTGGTGTGGTTTTAAGGTCAGAGGTGTTCCTGCTCTGTGCACGGCAACATCCTTGTCTCAACTCTATAGTCCCAAGACATCTATAGATTCCTTATTGGGATCTTGCCATCTTTCTGGCTGCCTTCTACTTTACCAAGTATTACGGTCTATCATAATATATCCTATCTCATCCTGATATGGCCATAGCATGGCAGCTTCAGTTTAGTTACTGTGGGATAATGCAGTTTTGGTTTGCTCCAGGACCCATTTATCTGCTTATTTGGCCATTCACGACATTCACAGAACTCTCCTCCAGAACCACATTTCAATTGCCTTGATTTTCTTCTATCAGCTTTCTTCGCTGCCCATATTTTACAACACAGATATGGGAAATAACATGGACAAGCTGTAGCAACAAGCTGTATTTTTAAATGGACCCTTTTGTTTCTCTCATTCTAATTGCAAAAATGTTCACCTGCCCTCTTTTCCAGCAGAGAAGCCGCAGCAGGAAGCAGAAGCAATATTGCATCCCGTTCCCCCGAGGCACATTCAAAGACCTCTTCCTGCATCCTCATTTTGTTGTATTACCAGCTGCTATATGAACAAGCACCTTGAGTGGGATTGCGATCCTCTCTCTTTCTCTCCATTTCCCCACAAGTAACATGACTCAGAAGAATATATTACTCATCAAATCTGCCTACGAATCCGGCATCTACTCTCCCATTCAAGCCTTTCCCGAACTGTTTTGCAGTCAGGGATGGAAAGAAAATGTTTCCCAGCAAGATGCGGCAGAGGAGAGTTGGAGGAAGAGGCGCCTTCCTTTGATTACCTTTTGAGAGGTGACAATGATGGAAAATAATTCATTCCCTTCCCGCTACACTCGTGAATTCCGAACTACGCACCCAACCCAGCCGCAAGGAGACTTCAAACAAGAATGTAAATCACGGTCTTAGATCCTAACTTTGCTTCATGATGCGAGGACGTGCGTCACAGAATCACAGAGTTGCAAGAGACCCCAAAGATCATCCAGACCAACCCCTTGCCATGCAGAAATACACCATTCAAGCCCATCCAAAAGATATCTTCAGAGAAGGAGAACAAGCCCTATGAGGAGCGGCTTAAGGAGCTGGGCATGTTTAGCCTGAAGAAGAGAAGGCTGAGAGGAGATACGATAGCCATGTATAAATATCTGAGAGGAACCCACAGGGAGGAGGGAACAAGCTTGTTTTCTGCTTCCTTGGAGACTAGGACGTGGAACAATGACTTCAAACTACAAGAGAGGAGATTCCATCTGAACATGAGGAAGAACTTCCTGACTGTGACAGCCGTTCAGCAGTGGAACTCTCTGCCTCGGAGTGTGGTGGAGGCTCCTTCTTTGGAAGCTTTTAAGCAGAGGCTGGATGGCCATCTGTCAGGGGTGATTTGAATGCAATATTCCTGCTTCTTGGCAGAATGGGGTTGGACTGGATGGCCCATGAGGTCTCTTCCAACTCTTTGATTCTATGATTCTATTGCAGGCATGGGCAAACTTTGGCCCTCCAGGTGTTTTGGACTTCAACGCCCACAATTCCTAACAGCCTACCGGCTGTTAGGAATTGTGGGCGTTGAAGTCCAAAACACCTGGAGGGCCAAAGTTTGCCCATGCCTACTCTATTGGATTCTTGATGTCAAACTGTGCTTAGCATCAGGATATGCTTCCTAATATATAAGTGGAATTTCTTCTCCTGTACATAATTCTAATTCTCCAATGAAGTAAAGCAACTCCTTTGGACACATAACATCCCAATTCTTCCTCTGCTTCAAACAACAGAATAAGTAACGTTTTACCCTTCCCTTTCCTTAATTTTAATACACTCCACCATTACTTTATTG